AAGGAACTGAGGCTCATCAGTCAAATTATGAATCGCAGCCCATGTATTGTAAATCCTAGCATTTTGCTAATTTCTTCCTTCTCTCTCCTTCCCTTCATCCACTCAGCTCAGTTTCATTCACTGAGTTCACTATGTGTCAGAGATTGTGTGCATGTTTTGTATTGCACTTAACATCCAGAATTTTTATTCTTAAAGCAATTCAGTCTCCTAAGTAGTTTCCATTATCTTTGCTTTGGATTAAGTACCACTATTTCCAAATTTTTAAAGGTAAGGAAAGTGAATGTTTTCCATAAACGAATAGTTAATACTTTCTTTTAAAAGTGATCACTGTTGTTCTGTTTTTTGAGAGGGCAAGCGTGAATCAATATGCAGCCACGGAGTAGTAACCATACCTGCTGAAGTCAAACTTGCAAGCAGAAGAATTCCCAGAGGTCTCCGACTGGATCTTTCCTATTGATTCTTCAGGCCAGTCTGCAAATTCTTGGGTGAATGGCCTTCTCTAAGCATAGCACACTTGCATGATATCCTGCCCAGGAGCCAGCTCACTTCCAATGAGACCTCAGTGAAAATGGCTTTCCCTCTCCTGAAGGTCTTTGTGACATGAACACACAGAACTTCTGTCAGTGAGTAAATCAACTAAAAGCAGGACATGAGATATGAGAAATTATGCTACCAGTATACTCATGTTCATGGAAAAACATAAGCACATCTAAAATAATTAGTTTTCCATAGATCAGTATTCTACAGAAGAGAACTAAGATACAGGACAATTAAATTACTTACACTGGGATATACTTCAGTCATTCATTCATCTAAACCAATAGCTACAGGCTGAGTCCAGAGTTAGAGGCCTGTTATCCTTCCTGATTCTTAAATCACAATAGTAGAAAGTGAAAACCCCCTCCCCCAGTGGAAACTCTGATCACACCCATTATTTCATTATTTTGTGACTTACGGCAGAAAGCAAAGAGGAATTAAAGATCTTCTTGATGAAGGTAAAAGAGGAGAGTTAAAAAGCTGACTTAAAACTCAACATTCAAAATGCAAAGATCACGGCATCCGGTCCCATTGCTTGATGGCAAATAGATGGGGAAACAATGGAAACAGTGACAGGCTTTATTTTCTTGGGCTCCTAAATCACTGCAGATGGTGACTGCAGCCATTAAATTAAAAGACGCTTACTCCTTGGAAGAAAAACTATGACCAATCTAGACAGTATATTAAAAGAAGAGACATTACTCTGCCTACAGAGTTCCGTATAGTCAAAGCTATTGTTTTTCCAGTAGTCATGTATGGATGTGAGAGCTGGACCAAAAAAAAGACTGAGCACCAAAGAACTGATGCCTTCAAACTGTGGTGTTGGAGAAGACTCTTGAAAGTCCCTTGGACTACAAGGAGATCCAACCAGTCAATCCTAAAGGAAATCAGTCCTGAATATTCATTGGAAGGACTGATGCTGAAGCTGAAGCTCCTATACTTCGGCCACCTGATGGGAAGAACTAACTCATTAGAAAAGGCTCTGATGCTGCAACGATTGAAGGCAGAAGAAAGGGACGACAGAGGATGAGATGGTTGGATGGCATCACCTACTCAACGGATATGAATTTGAGCAAGCTCCAGGAAATGGTGAAGGACAGGGTGTGCCGCAGTCCTTGGGGTCGCAAAAAGTCAGACACAACTGAGTGACTGAACAACAGCAACAAAGAAATACAAAAGGTTCACCATCATCTTTTATTCAGGCTCTTAAATTGTTAAAGAAACTATACCATTAATGATATTAATGTTTACCAAATACTCACTACGTACTAGGGTCTTATTTAATCCCCAAACAACCTTGTAAAGAAGGTAGAGATTTAGAAACTGCAGCTTGTAGAGAGTAAACAATTATCCAAAATCTCCCATCTAGTAAGAGTGGCGCTGGGACTCAGATTCAGATCAATTCAGCTCATTCCCTGTGTGCTTAAACTGCTTCACTATAGTGCCACCCTCGAAGCTGCTTTTCCTGAACCCATCTCCTCTCTAGGTAGTTAGACAAAAGGAAAAGAAAGCCTTGTCCCAAGACCTTGCATTGAAACTACACACATTATTGACGATACCAGCACCTAAAAGATTAAAACATGCAACTGTCCTAAGCAGGAAATCACTAGCTATACCACTGGTAGACAGAATCCTTGTCTTCTCGGGAAGTGTACTGATGCTCTGTATTTATACCATACCTTGGTTCCAGAATAGGATTTGCGGTGATCCGCATAATAAAGACCCAGAGAATTTATTGTCAGCTAAAGCCTGACATGGTGAAAATGGAAAAGACATTCAATTAGCTAAGAACCCTGAGTGATGTCACCAATTGACACTACCTATGACCCCAAAATGGGAAGAACAAGGTGTGAAAGCAGTTAAAGAAGCTCCCGTGGGGAGCTGGGGGTAACTTTATTTTTTCTCAATCAAAGTATAGTTGTTTTATAATGTTGTGTTAGTTTCAGGTATACAGAAAAGTGATCGGATATATATACTTATATATATATTCTTTTTCAATTGTTTTCCATTAACAGTTATTTCAAGATATTGAATATAGTTCCCTGTGCTATACAATGGATCCTCACTGTAGTATTAACTGTTCATTTCCACCCTAAGTTAGTATATTCTTTCCTGTGGTAGCTGTGTGTTTTTTCCAGTGGTGCTTCTCTTAGTTATTGCTTAATTCAAGTTATGTACAGTGTCATTAATGTTATTTCAATCTCTGTAAGTCAAATAGTCTTTTAAAATCTTAACCATGTATTACATTTACATTATGATAGTGAATATGATATCTTCATATTAAATCAAGTACTTGATATGACTTATTAAAACTGGTGAACACAGTAGTTAATGCATAGCGGCTTATACTTCCTTATGGGCTGTCTAGAAAATAAACTCTTCTAGTCTTGATGGCCAGTCAAATGCTTGATCCTAGGTAGTCACTGATTTATCTGTCTTTTCTCTGTAAACAGCAACCAAATTTTTAAGTATTCCATTCTCTTTCCTATCACTACTTTAATGCTGACCAGAAGTAACATTCCTGTTGAAGACTTATTTTTGTTCTTTGTCCATGATATCTAGAGTCCATTCACATTTTCTTCAATTTTTCTTTTCTAGGTTTTAGAAAAAAATGCATTTCATGTATGTAAAGACCAAAGCATAATATAGTGAACACATGTTTACCCACCAACCAGCTTAAAAAAAAAACTATTTTCAAAACAGTTAAAGCTCCCTAGGCAGCACTTTTTAACCACATTCTTGTCTCTTCCCCAGATTTAAGTACTATCTTGAATTTGGGGCTATTGTTCTCTCATTTCTCTGCCTCTCTCTCCCCCACCCCTTTATTTTGTTTATTTGGCTGTGCCAGGTGTTAGTTGCAGGCATGCAGGAAGATCTTTGATCTGCATTGCAGGATGTGAGGTCTAGTTCCCCAACCAGGAATCAAACCTGGGCCCCCTGCATTGAGTGAGGCATCTTAGCCACTGGACTGCCATGGAAGTCCCTCCCCTCCTCTTTAAATATTAGTTTTATTGCCTATACACATGTGGGCTTCCCTGGTAGCTCAGTGGTAAAGAGTCTGCCTACCAATGTAGGAGACTTGAGTTCAGTCTCTGGGTTTGGAAGGTCCCCTGGAGAAGGAAATGGCAACCTGCTCCAGTATTCTTGACTGGAGAATCCCATGGACAGAAGAGCCTGATGCACTACAGACCATAGGGTCAAAAAGAGTCATAAAACTTAGAGACTAAATAATAACAATGTATATACATATTTCTCCCTAAAAATTATTTTTATAAAAATTATAATTCGAGACATTCTTTCACAGTTTGCTTTTTTTCACTCTATATTGTAAGATTCATGTACGTGCACATGTGGACCTCTAGTTCATTCATTCTTACTGATGTACAGCATTCCATTGTGTAAATGTGCTTCATTCTCTTGCTGATGGCTGCTCGGATTGTTTCCAGTTTTTCCACAGTTGGTATGAGCTCAGGTATACCGGTCTTCTCAGTCACCTGTGCAAAGATTTTATAGAGTATATCTCTAGTGTATTTGCACCTTCAGGTTTAATGTGAAATCACTTTCCTCACAGCAGTATATAAGATTTTCTATTGCTCCCATCCTCAACTACATGTAGTATGATCAGATTTTTAAAAAAAGAATTTTACTTTTGGCTGTACTGGGTCTTTGTTGCTGTGTGGGCTTTTCTCTAGTTGTGGTGAGCAGGGGCTACTCTCTAGTTATGCTGCCCAGGCTTCTCATTGCAGTGGCTTCTTTTGTTGTGGATCACGGGCTCTGGGGCACTCTCGCTTCAGCAGTAGTGGTGGTTCCGACGACCTAGAGCACAGGCGCTTAGTTGCTCCAAGGCATTTGGGATCCTCAATATATGGGATTGAACCGCGTCCCTCCACTGACAACTGGGTTGTTACCACTGAGCCACCAGGGATGCCCCAGATTTTAAAATATTGCTAATATGGTGAGTGCTGTGGGCTGAATTGTGCCCTCCCAAAATTCACATATGACATCCTAACCTGTAGTGGCTCAGAATGTGACTATATTTAGAGACAAGATCTTTTAAAGAGGTTGTTGTTGTTGTTGTTTTTCGGTGTCTCAGTCATGTCCGACTTTTTGCAAACCCATGGACTGCAGCATGCCAGGCTCCCCTGTCCACTATCTCCTGGATTCGCTCAGATTCACGTGCATTCAGTTGGTGATGCTGTCTAACCATCTCATCCTCTCTGCCCTCTTCTCCTTTTGCCTTCAATCTTGCCCAGCATCAGGGTCTTTTCCAATGAGTTGGCTCAGGTGGCCAAAGGACTGCATGTTCAGCTTCAGCAACAGTCCTTCCAATGAATAGTCAGGGTTGATTTCCTTTAAGATTGATTGGTTTGGGGACCCACCTCGCGAGGGGCCACTGCTGCAGGCAGTCAGGTGCTGGCGTGTGGAATCGAAATTCCGGAGGCCCGGGCCATGAGAATGTCACCATGCCTAAAGCACCAAAGAGAAAAAGTGTAGGACAAGAAGAAAAAGTCACCCATCCATATAGTAGAAAAGCAGCTCAAATTACAAGAGAGGCCCACAAACAAGAAAAAAAGGAAAAATTGAAGAATGAAAAGGCATTGCGTCTCAGCCTTATTGGCGAAAAACTGCAGTGGTTTCAAAATCACCTTGATCCCAAAAAAGTAGGATATTCAAAAAGAGATGCTTGTGAACTAATTGAAAGGTATTTGAATCGATTCAGCAGCGAGCTGGCGCAGATTGAGTTGCGGAACAGCTTCAAGGACAGGCAGGGCCGGAGGCACTGCTCTCGGGAGGCGGCCATCAGGCAGACCCTGGAGCAGGAGCGGCAGCAGTACCAGGCCCAAGAGCTTCCAGACTTTTTAAATGCAGATAATCTGAAAACTTTTAGGGAATGGGATTTTGATCTGAAGAAACTGCCAACATTAAAATGAGAAAAGTCTGTGCTAGCAATGCAGTGCCCAAGAAGTGTAAGAAGAAAGCTGTGACAGCTGTAGACAGAGATTTAGGGGAATTGTAACTGAAAGATGAGTCAAGTGACACAGACGAGGAAATGACTGCGGTGGCCTAAGTGTCTTTGCTTGAGTGGAAAATAAATAATTTGAGAACTTCAAAAAAAAAAAAAGATTGATTGGTTTGATCTCCTTGTTGTCCAAGGGACTCTCAAGAGTCGTCCCCTACACCACAATTTGAAAGCATCAATTCTTTGGCACTTAGCCTTCTTTGCCATTAAAGATTGCTGGTTTAAAAATGTATGGCAAGAGCCACTACAATATTGTAAAGTAATTAGCCTCCAACTAATAAAAACAAATGGAAAAAAATAATAAAGGAACTCTCAAGAGTCTTCACCAGCAAAATAAATAAATAAAATAAAAAATAAAAAGGTATTTGAGGTTAAATGAGGTCATTAGAGGGGGCCATAATCTGATGTGACTGGTATCCTGATAAGAAGAGATTAGAACAGACATGCACAGAGGGAAGACAATATGAAGAAGATTGTCACTTGCAAGCCAAGGAGAGAGTCCCTTAGAAGTCAACAGAACATCTGGATTTGGACTCCCAGCTCCGGATCTGTGCAGAAATAAATTTCCATTATTTAAGCCCTGTGGTCTGTAGTTCCTTGTTATGGCAGCCCTATACTAATACAGTGATTTTATTTTATTTTTTTTCTGTTGGCAAAGTAATGTCTCTGCTTTTTATTTTTTTCCCAATTATTTTAATTAGTTGGAGGCTAATTACTTTACAGTATTATAGTGGTTTTTGCCATACATTGACATGAATCAGCCATGGATTTACATGTGTTCTCCATCCTGAAACCCCCTCCCACCTCCCTCCCCATCCCATCCCTCTGGGTCATCCCAGTGCACCAGTCCCGAGCACTTGTCTCATGCATCCAACCTGGACTGGCGATCTGTTTCACACTTGATAATATACATGTTTCGATGCCATTCTCTCAGATCATCCCACCCTCGCCTTCTCCCATACAGTCCAAAAGTCTGTTCTATACATCTGTGTCTCTTTTTCTGTCTTGCATATAAGGTTATCGTTACCATCTTTCTAAATTCCATATATATGCGTCAGTATACTGTATTGGTGTTTATCTTTCTGGCTTACTTCACTCTAATACAGTGATTTTAAAATAGTAAATTATCATGCTAATTTGCATTTCTGTCATTGATAATTGAGGTTTAGCAATTTTGCGTGTAGTTAATCATGCAGCTTTCTTCTATAAAATTGCTTTAAATTAAAAATATATATATATCATTGTGTCATTTCCTTCTCTTATACATATATATACACACATTGAACACTACTTCCTGATCACTTTTAAGTACTGTACCTATCTCCCCTGTGACTTGCTTTTCATATTTTTATGCTGTCTTTTGAGAAATAGAAAACAGAAATTGTCTCCTAATTCTGGAGGCTAGAAGTCTAAAATGAAGGTGTCAGCAGAGCCGTGCTTCCTCTGAAACCTATAGGAAGTCTCCTTCCTTGCCTCTTCCCGGCTCCTGGTTACTTGCCGGAAGCAGGGAGGCTCCTTGGCTTACAGCGGCAACGCTTTAGTCTCTGCCTGCCTCTGTGCGTGGTATTCTCCCTCCTGTGTCTGTGCCTCTGCGTTTCACCTCTTCTCAAAAAGACACAAGTCTTATTGGATTAAGGGTCTACCCTACTCCCATATGACTTCATCTTAACCAATTACATCTGTAAACATGCCATTTTTCTCAATTTGGCCACATTCTGAGGTACTGGAGTTAGATCTTCCACAAATACTTTGGGGAGAAACAATTCAACCCATAACAATGACTGAATCATACCATGTCTGATCCATCTGTCAGTGACTTCTGGGGAATTTCAGATTCTAAAACAGGAAAAAATGTAGGAATCCCCATAAAAATTGAACCACCCGTTATTCCCAGCACAGGAACCGGAGGTCACTTCCACACCTCTGTTTCTTGGGTAGAGCTATTTATAATTGTTGCCTCTTCAGGGGAAACATGAAAGTTAGCCAATTCACTTAAGGCTCTGCCACTTTCCTGAGGCTGCTTCCAACTGGCTCACAACCAACTGTTGCTGTTTGAAGAATAAAATCCGCTCATCGTGAATAAGGAAATGACTGAATAAAGCCTGGAATTTCTAGGAAGGAAATAAGTTGTAGAGCATTTTTCCCCCACGTGGGGAGCTGTGGAGCCACACAAGTACAGAGTAGAGCATGGAAGCGCCCAGGCCAGCTCAGGGCAAGGGGTGCCACAAGGGGACTGGCCTGCCTCCAGGGAGAAGACTGCTAAGGCCTGGGCAGGGCCTCCCCACCTCCCTGTCAGCTTTTTGTCAGACCAGAGGCCTGGGATCTTGGTACAGTCCAAATGGTAAGGAAAGAGCCATGCATGCATGCTAAGTAGCTTCAGTTGTGTCTGCCTCTTTGTGACCCCATGGACTGTAGCCGCCAGGCTCCTCTGTCCATGGGGTTCTCCAGGCAAGAATACTGGAGTGCGCTGCCATGCCCTCCTCCAGGGGATCTTCCCAACCCAGGGATTGAACCTAGGTCTCCCACATTGCAGGGTGGATTCTTCACCATCTGAGCCACCAGGGAAGGCTGGAAAGAGCCATACAGAAGGTGGGATAGAGAACACTTTCAGTTGTCTTCTCAAGAAAGAAGAAAGTCAAGCCAGATCTCACTTAGAAGGGAAATATGACATTTCCAGTAACACCAGTATTGTGGAGAAATCTGTAATGATTACTATTAGAACTAAATAGTTGTTTCTGTAAAATATACACATAAACTCTTTGTCAGATCAATAAAATTTTAAGTGTCTGTCACAGACTGGGTTCCCTGAGAAACAGAGTAAACTAGAGATGTGCACGTTAACTACGTTATTGGAAGATGCTCTTGAGAGATACACCTGTGGGGAGTGAAGAGAGCAGGATTGGGCCGAGGGGTGAAAGTGGCGATGCAGTCCCCACACAGGCCTCCGCAGATTCCACAAAGAGCTCTGGAACTGGGAGAGGCCTGAAGAGTTATCTCAGTGTGAGGTAAGGAGGCAGGCAATTACTATCCTTCTTGCCCTCATTGATCAATCATTGGCCAAGAGGTCTCCCAGGGAAGTGGGCATGACCTTCATCATGGTTGAGTCCCTCAACTAAGGCAGTTCCTTCCTGGAGAAGAATTTATCTGTGTTTTGTTAGCAGCTAGAATGAGTGTCTAGAAACTGAAGTGGGGGTGGTAGTCTGGACAACACACCACAGCCTCATAAGTGATTGTTCTTACGTTCAATTGTTCTCACTCTGGAGTGACTACCAGAGAGGTGACACATTCAAAACACACACACCATGGCCACTCTGCACATGCTGATGTCTCCGTTTGTAGAAATATCTAATCCTAAAGATTCCTCCACTTAACACAATTCACCCATCCCTCATTTAATCACAAATGCACTCGTGTCCTTCCTGAGCGGTAGGACCACTTTTAAGGTATATCAGATAATATTCATTTCTTGTCAATAGCAAGTTCTCATTTCTGATAACCTCTGGGCAGACTGGTTAAATATACTGAGATATAACATCCATGGCTTCAGTAGTGAGGAATCTGCCTGCCGAGAAAGAGAAATGGGTTCGATCTCTAGGTTGAGAAGATTCCCCGAAGAAAGAAATAGCAATGCACTCCAGTATTCTTACCTGGGAAATCCCATGGACAGAGGAACACAGTAGTGGCTACTGTCCATGGGGTCACAAAAAAGTCAGACACAACTTAGCAACTAAACAACACAATAATATCCATTATGTTAGAGATCACTTAAACTGAAGTTATGACTGACAATATAAGAAAGCAATGTGCACCATATGATCTCATTTCTGGGGAAAGATATACATATGAAGCCTCTCAGAATGGCCACTAAAACAGGGTGTGTAAAGGCCACTAAAACAGGGTGTGTAGTTATCTCTGGACAGTGATGGGATTATGGAGTATTCAAATTTTTCTCCTCTTGCTTAAATGTATTTTCTGATCAACCCAATAAGCATGTTACTTCTGTAATAGGACAAAACAACTCTTTCTTCTCTGAAGGGTAGATACAGTTTGGGAAGAGCAGGCCTTATGACTATGTTAATCAAGTAGTGATTTGTTTAATCACCAGGGGAAGAAATTAGGAACAGGACTTTAAATGGAATTTGTATATTATACTGGCCACTTCAGAGCCCAGGAAATTTAGGGAAGAACAGGTCTGAGTAAAAGAAGAAGGTTTAGACTTGTGCTGTTCAAAACACTGACCATCAGCCACATGTGACTTTTGGGCACTTAAAATGTGGCTGGTTCAAACTGCAGTGTGCTCTAACTGTAAAGTACAAGATTTCAAAGATTTAGTATTAAAAATGTAAAATATACCATTAATAATTTTAATACTACATCTTGAGATGATAATATTTTGGATATATTGTGTGAAACAATATACAATATTAAAAACAAGTTCTCCTGTTTCTTTCTAGTCTAGACATTTGTCAGGAAACATGAGTTCTCTGAAATACTCCCCCAAAGTATAAACAATTTGAAAAAGCAATTGTCTCACAGGACACCCACTAACATTACAGTTTTACCTGGGGCTTTCCTAGGACCACCACCGAAAAGTGGGGGCAGAAGGGGCGGCTCATTTGGGCTGACAAAAGAGCACATCAAATGAGCGCTGTGTGCTGCAAGGCCACTAAATCCAACCACTTAACTGTGTGTATGTCAGTCTATGTCACTGAAGTCTATCAGCTCAGAGAAAGTTAAGGAAACAACATGCTGTTGCAGACAGACATTAACATCTTCCCATGGGAAAAGCCCTCACGCCTGTCATGGGACGCTGCACGGGAACTGCCCATTGCACCTACATGCC